GATTTTTGAAATCCTGTTACTCGGTTTTTCTGCAACGTCGTCAATGGCGTCGGAGGATCGCCGGCCTCCTAAGGCCGGTGGCCCCCACAAAATTCGCCAACCTATTCCCTCTTCTAGGATTGTTTCTCATCTCAATTCTTAGTCGTCTCCGCCTTCTTTTGGAGACAACGGTCATGGTAAAGAACTCAATTTCTGGTCAATGAAAGAACGCCCCCTGGTAATTTCTGAAGGTGGTAAAATCGTCAAGAAGAAGACCCCTGAATGTATTGGTAAGGGAAAAAAAAAATTAATTGAAGATAAGTTTAATCTCAAGTCTTTTAAAATCTGTGACGATATCATTAACATCCGAAGTGATGCTTTTAAAAAATCTGATAATTGCATTTCCACTTCTTGTGTTAATGCGGCTGATAAGAATTTGATAAAGTCAAAGGTTGATCATAACTATTACGTGAACAACCTGATTTCTGAAGATCAGGTTTTGGTTGAAGATGCGGTTGTTACTAATGAACATGAAGGCAATGATCAAAATACAGATCTGATTACTATTCAGAAATGCGATTCTGGAGTGTTGGGTAATTGTGATTTGAATTCTGAGGTTGCTGAAAATTCAAAGAAATCTGGTAATGTGATTGCTGGCACAAATGTGTGGAAGAGGAAAGCAAACATCAAAGTTTCTGATTTGAATTTAGGTAAGGATTTTGTGGAAGAAGATGGTGTGGTTAAACTAAATTTTGAAAAAGAGATAGAGAACTCTAACAAATTAAATAAATCCTTAGTTATCAAAAATTTTGGAGATAACATCCCTTTTCATGTAAAAGCCTTGAACTAAGAAGGCAATGGGGAAGAGTTGGAAAATTTCATTTGACTCAGCTTGGATTGGGCTGGGTTCTTTGTGCCTTTGAAAATCCAGAATGTTTGGATGAAATTATAACTTCAAGACCCTATTATGTGAATGGGAATATTGTTGGAATGGATAGATGGATATCATCTTTTTCTCCCTCCTCATTTAAAGGCCTCACAGCCCCTATCTGGATTCGTATGCCAAACCTCCCCCTTCAATGTTGGGATGAAGTAAACGTTTGTAGAATTGCTTCCAAGGTGGGTACTCCTTATTTTATTGATGGGAATATGTTCCAATGGAGTAGAAGGGAATACACAAGAGTTTGTGTGCATATTAAACTTGATGAAACATTACCTTTGGGAGTTTGGGTTGAAGGTAACTTGGGAAAGTTTTATCAAAACATTGAATATGAGAAATTACCCACTTTTTGTTTTACATGTGGAAATATTGGACATCTCAAAGAAGATTGTTCAAAAAAAGTGATACCAGGTATTACTGCAAAGCCAAATAAGGATATTCAGGTTAATGAAGAAATTCTGATTGAAGACAGGAATCTGAAAGACACATCCTCTAAAGCGTTTGCTAATAATGTCTTCAAAGGTAAGGAAAATGGGCCTTGGATTCAAGTTTGAAACAAAAAGAAGAAAATTTCTGGAACAGTTAACAAATCTCAAAGTTTCAATAAAGAAGTTATTAATTCAAAAGAAATTCGAGTTGAAATTACAAATAATCAGGTTGACTTCAGTTCAAAATTTTTTGATGAAATGGATAAGGAGACCTGTGGTTTGATGCCTTCTTCAATAGTTTCAGATAGAGATATTAAAGGTGATAATGTCTTCAAAAATAGAGATATTGTCAGCCCGTCTCAGGATAAGATTCAGAACACCAATAAATTTGAAGCCTTAAAAGATCTATCAGAGGAGAAGGAGATTAATAAAGAATTGATTCATCCAGAAAAATAGAATTTCAGCAGGGTTAATATTACATAAGAAAATCAAAACTTGGTACTTCTATTAAATGCTGTTCATAAAAATCTGGGAGAGATTTCTAATTCAGCTAAGAAGAAAGGTTTGAAACAATTAAAAGGATTGGGAACTATAAAATTGATGACAAGAAATAGAAGAACTTAAGGTGATGAGAAGGAGAAAGGGGGGAGTCTCTCCCCACTTATCCATAAATGAATTCCATAGTATTTTGGAATTGTAGAGGAGCCAAGAAAAAAAAGGCTTCTCTATACCTTAAGGAGATTGCTAAAGAACATAAAGTTATTTTTGTTGGCCTTTTGGAAACTAAATTGTCTTTTATTTACAGTAAGGAAGTGGATTCTTTAATTGGCATTGGTTGGGATTTCAATTATCTTCCGTCAGCCGGTCTCTCAGGTGGGATATTGGTAATGTGGAAGAGCAGGATGACCTCTTATAATGTGATAGAATCATATTCACAATTCATTATTGGTTATATGGATATTCCTCTCATTGTTAAATGGAGGATTGCTACTTCTTATGGCAGTAAAGAAGTACACAAAAGAAGAGATCTCTGGAATGGTTTGGAACCTTACATTTCTATTGATTTTCCTTTAATCATAGGTGGGGATTTTAATTGTTTGCTTGCTAAAGAAGAGAAGAAAGGAGTTAGAAGATTTATAATGTCTTTAGGACCTAAAGAAATGAAGTCTTTTTTTATTTCTAATAATCTTTATGAACTTAAATTCATGGGACCTATGTTTACTTGGAGTAACAATAAGAAAGGGCAGGACCGGATAATGGAAAGATTGGATAGGATGATTGTTAATTCTTATTCTGTCAATACTAACAAAATTCTAGTGGTTAAGCATCTTACTAGAATCACATCTGATCACTGTCCTATTCTTTTGAATCTTAACAGTTCGTCTCCTAAAATCAGCAAATCTTTCAAGTTTGAGAACATATGGGCTTCTTACCCGGCTTCATTTTCAGTAATGCAGAACGTCTGGAGAAGAAAGTCATTGGTTCTCCTTCTGATATTCTTAATACTAAAATGAGAAGAACTCTAAAAACTTTATACTTTTGGAGCAGGGCAAAGCACCAAAACTTGGAACAATTGAAGGAAACTCTTAAAAGGGAGATTCTACAACTTTAAGAGAAGGAAGCTAGGAATGGATTGCTATCTTCTGATGAAATTTGTTTACTGAAATTCAAAATTGGTGAATTAAACTCTACTTTTGCTCGGTTAAGTACCTGGTGGAAACAACGGGAAAAAGTGAAGTGGATTAATGAAGGTGATCAAAACTCTAAATTCTTTCACTCTTTTGCTAGTGCTAGGAAAAATGTCAATTTCAATGCTAGCATTAAGGATGATTTGGGAAATTTGTTTGATAATCATAATGAGATAGAAGAAGTTTTAATTCATTATTTCAAAAATAAATGGTTTGAAAAAAATTGTATGCTCACTGGTTGGCCGGAGAATAGAAAGTGTCTAGATGAGGAACATAGATTGACGCTTTGTAAAGATTTTTCTGTAGAAGAAGTGGAAGAAGCTCTTAAAGGAACTACGGATTGCACAGCTCTAGGAGAAGATGGTGTTTCTTATTTTTGTTTTAAGAGTTACTGGCCCATTATTAAATCAGATTTATGGAAAGCTATCCAACTATTCCTCCTTACAGCTGATATGAATAAGAATTGGAAAAAAACTCAAATTGTGTTGATTCCCAAAATCAGTAATCCAATTTATGCAGCTCATTATAGACCTATTAGTCTGTGTAATACGGTCTACAAATTAATTGCCAAAGTTCTTCTCAACAGGATCAACAATACTATTCCTAAACTGATTTCTCTGGAGCAAGCGGCCTTTATCAAAGCAAGGATGCTTCATGATCATGTTCTTATTGCCCAAGTGGTATTTCATAAATTCAGACATTCTAAAGCTTCAAAGGGATTGGTTTCTATCAAGTTAGATAGGAACAAGCCTATGATTCCATGGGGTGGCTGACTCTTTGCAAAGTGTTGGATTATTTTGGTTTCCCTATATCATTCTCCAAGTTGATTCTGGGTTGTATGGTGAACCCTTCTTATGATATTTTAATTAACGGGAATCATTCTAACTGGATTGAAGCTAGTAGTGGATTTAGACAAGGATGCCCCTTGTTACCGTATCTTTTTATTCTCTTCTCTCAGTTACTTTCAAATGCTATTTTGGAAAGGGAAAATATCGATGTGCGCGTTAGCAGCAATAGTCCTAGAATCTCACATCTCCTATACGCTAATGATGTAATGGTTTTTGCTGAAGCTAAAATAACTAATGTGAAGTTGATTAAGGAAATCATTAAGAAGTATTGTAACTGGACCGGACAGAAAGTCAATACAACTAAATCTGGTTTGCTCTTTGGTAAAGCTGTCAACACAAGGATGAAGAGGAAGATTAAAACATTTTGGGCTATAAAGAAGTGAAAGAATTCTGTTAACTGGGATCTAAATTGGTTTTGAGAAGACTATCCAGATCTGATTATCAATTCATTATTGATAATGTTATGAAAAAGTTGAATAGTTGGGGTTCTAAATTTTTGTCTCTAGCCGGTAAAATCACCTTGGTTAAATCAGTTATTCTTTCCATTCCCTCTTTTCATACTACTATTTCTTTAATTCCAAAAATCAATCCTTGAAGAGATTGAAAAATTATGTCGGAATTTCATTTGGAATAAAAGTAATAATGGGCAAGGATTACATTACGTTAACTGGAACAAACTTTGTGAACCCGTTGATAACGGTGGTAGGGGGATACATTCTTGTATCAACAAAGTTGGTCCTCTTAGAGCTAAAATAGCTTGGAAATACTTAAAAGATGATGATTCTCTATTGTATAAAACATTATTTCCTAAATACGGTTCTGTTTGGAATGTTGGAAATAGAAATAGATCTGTTTCAACGGCATGGAAGATTATTAAACACGGGAGCAAACATCTGAAACCAATTGTGTGGTGGGAGATTGCCAATGAACAATCAATCAATGTTATGGAGAACATCTGGATTTTTGATAAAAGTCTCAATAGATGGCCAACGTTTGTCAATTCTCTAGTGGATATGACAGATTTCTGTTCTCTGGATAATTTTATAACTGATGGTTGCTAGAATTTGACAGAATTGGAAAAATTCTTTGTCTGTAACTTATAAAACTAATTTGTTTAATTCAAATAAAAAATGATCTAGTAGAGGATCAATTTCAGCTTTTATATATGGATTCAGGTAGAACTATACCTCTATTGCTGCAAGACTATAATATTTATCAGTCACCTTATTCTAATTGATGGAAGTGGCTGAAGAGTTCTAAAATTAATGCCCTTGCTGAAAAATTTTGTGGAGAGTATTAAATGATGCCCTTGCCTACTTTAGCTTTCTTTCCTACAGAAAAATAGGAAGATTTGAATTTCCCAAGAGGTTGCAATGTAAGAGGAAACATTGATCATGGTGGATTCGTAATTATTGAAAATTACAGATTGTATTCACCGGTCTAAATAATTGGGAGTTGTATTCCAAAATTTTTCTTCCAAGGATGATGACTTTAAATGGTTGGAAAACCAAAATGAATTTCTTTCCAATGTTTCTGTAAATGCCATTTATCTCACTTAGAAAAAGAGGAGAAATGAAATTAGTCATGGTAAGAAGGAAAGAAGCTCCCATTCATCGCAGCGGAGCTATCACCTATGTTGAGCTCTAAATCTACCAATTATTCATTCTATGGGGCCGGTGGTACTTAATCAGCTTATGCTGTAGAAAGACCGTTGGTACTTCCTCCACCCAATGATCAGATAAAAGTTGATGCGGCTTTATTTCTTCTTATAAAGCGGCTATAGGAAGTTTCAGAGATCACATGGTCGGTTGATGCAGCTTTCGGCTTCCTCAAATGCATTGATATTACTTATCGTGAACATCTAGCAAATAACATCCATCAAAGATTGCTATCAAATGGGAGTAGATGATTTCAAAGGTATCATTATTGAGAGTGACAATGCAAATGTCATCAAGCTCATTCACAAAGCTCTCAAAAAAGGAAGAAGAGGTAATGATAAATTTTCCTTTATTTTTGATTTGAACTTTGCTTTTTTTAATTGCATTAAGAGAAATTGTAATAAGTTAGCGGATCTTTGTGCTAACTTTGGGGTTTTCTCTTCTTTTTGGTGGGAAGATTTATTTTTGGACTCGATTCCTCCATCATTTGTTAATATTTTGATGGATGAATCGGCAGCTTGCAATTAGCATGCTGTTTTTCTTTGTGTTTCCTCTTTTATAGTTTTTAATGCAATTTTTTATTGCTCTTTCAAAAAAAAAATGATCGTTTCGCTACAAAATTCATTCAGTACAAATTAAATTTCGTACAGTATGAATATAACACTTAGAAAATTTTGTTCGATTGATCAAAATCATGAATTTCAATGTAAAAACATTTTGAGAACACAAAAATCATAAAGAAAATGCTCACATAAAATTATAAAATCAAAAAAGTACACAAATAAATCAAAACACAAAATACACACACACACAAACACATATCAAAATTGTAGAAATTTTAATTAAGCATTTTGATAAATCACACCAAGCCTTGTTCTTAATCTACTGAAAGTATTAAAGGATAGTGGTTTTATAAAAATGTATGCAAGTTTATTTTCAGTTGAAATATGATTGAGTTTAATTTCTCCTTGGATACATGATTCCTTATGAAATGATGTCTGATGTCAATATGTTTGGTTCTTGAATGTTGAATAGGATTTTTCAAAATACAAATTGCACTAGTATTATCATAATTAATGAGAATTGTGCATATTGTTATTCCTAAATCAATCAACTGTTGTTTCAACCAAAGTACTTGTGCCACACAACTTCTTAAGGCAATGTATTCAGCTTCAATAGTAGATAGGGCTATCGAACTTTATTTTCTACTGGACCAAGAGACTAAATAATTTCCAATAAATTGGCATATTCTAGAAGTACTCTTTCTATCAATCCTATAACCTACAAAGTCTGAATCTTAATATCCAATTATTTCAAATGAAGAGCTAAACTTAGGATACCAAATCCCTAATTTCTGTATTCCCAAGAGATATCTCAAAATCCTTTTCACTGCTGCCAAATGTGACTCTTTTGGATCTGATTGAAAACTAGCACACAAACAAACACTAAAAATAATATTGTGTCTGCTAGCAATCAAGTAAAGAAAAGATCTAATAATTCCTTTAAATTTATTTTGATCAACAAATTTTTCCTCTGGGTCATTATACAATTGAACTGTGGAACTCATAGGTATACTAACAGGTTTAACATTGTCCATTTCATACTTTTTGAGGATGTCCTTAACTTACTTCGACTAACTAATAAAAGTACCCTCCTCAATTTGCTTAATGCTAAAGCCTATAAAGTAACTCAAATCTCTCATTAGGCTCATCTCAAATTCACTACTTGTTCTCTTAGAAAAATCATAACAAAAATTTTAATTTGTTGATCCAAAGATGATATCGTCAACATAAATTTGTACAATGAGTATATCCTCTCCTAATTTCTTCTAAAAGAGAGTTGTGTCAACACTTCCTTTTTCATAGGATCTCTCACGTAGGAAAGTGCTCAACCTCTCATACTAAGCCCTAGATGCCTATTTCAATCCATATAGTGCCTTTTTCAATTTGAAAATATGATTTGGGTATTTTGAAATTTCAAAGACTAGAAGTTGTTCAACATAAATATCCTCTTTAATCACCCCATTTAAAAAGATACTTTTAACATCTATTTGATACAATTTAAATCCTCTAAAATAGGTAAAGGATAACAAACCCCTAACTGCTTCAAGTCTAGCTACAGGGGAAAAAGTTTCCCAAAAATCAATCCCTTCAATCTGATTACACCCCTTAGCCACCAATCTAACCTTATTTTTAATGACTACTCCTGAGTCATTCATTTTATTCTTGAATACCCACTTAGTCTCAACTACACTTTGATCCATTGGCTTTGCAATTAATTCTAAAACTTCATTTCTTGCAAATTGATTTAATTCTTCTTG